ATTTCACAATGTTTCCATGTCATCCTCTTCATTCATTCTTCCAAAACAGACACATGCAATTATCTCGGTAACTGCACCAGAAGCAAATGGCGGAATTCCCTGTTGAACTTCACTGAATCAAGCACTGGATGTCAGCTCCAGCTTGAAGCTTCTATCTGGTACCGTTCGTCAGAAAAATGCCTGACCGCCATTCCCCCGTCCTCCCCTACGACCTAAAATTTTACGAAACGAAAAATAATTTTCGGAAATTTGTCGTAAATGTACATAAATCTGATTTTCAATTGCAACTGGTGTGATAGTTTTACTAAAACTACAGATAATATGACGTATAGGCTGTAAAGTAGCCATCACATTCTTCAGAACTTGTACTTTTTTTACTCGTATTTATGTCCTATACCTATCCACCAGCGATTTAACGACGGTGTTTCAGCTACATAATTTTTATAGTGTAAAATGAGGAAATGAGTAGCGAATACTTAAGAATTTGAAATGAGATAACAGTGGTTTTGTTAAATTTGCTTTCCCGAAACTCACTCGAAGAACCGTCAGTCAGAATAAGCGGTCACTTTACTGTGATTTCAATTGGACACCTCGCTGCTACACCAGTCAGCTCGGTCGTAGTTCAATATTCTGTGAAGTTTGTAATTCACACACCCAATCACTCCGGGCTTGCATCTTTGAAAATTTCATATTTTTATGGAATCGGGATTTCAAAAACGGACACAGTTCGAACTAAATGTTGAAAATAAATTATTTCGGACATTAGTCGGCCATTGTCAATGATAGCTTCCCACATAGCTTAGCACAGTGTTGCTATGATAGATCACATTCCCCATACCCACAGTTTGAAATAACACAGTACCATGGCTTGCAATATGGTAACTGATTGTAAATTAATATTTATTTTAAATTATTGTTTAACGATTACAGCTTTTAACAGTAGCACGAATTTTAACTTTCGGTTATGATTTTAATTCACATATAGAGTTTCAGATAATCTTAGGTACGTTACATAGTCTCTATATGGTCAGTAGCTGTGAGCTTATTAAATAAACTATTGAGGATAGCCGAAAATGGGTGGTTCTCAAGCTTGGGAGTTGGTCGACGATCTAACAACTCCTCACCGTAAAGAACTGACAGTTTATTGAAGTCACGTAGGACCTCCCCAGTCTTCTTCAAATACGGTTAATAGCTCAACATCCTGTCTTTCTCGTCAGACACACAACGGTATAACATAACACAATGTTTACACAACCATTAATTAACACGAACTTTTTTTAACTAAAATTACTGTTGACGCAATACTGATATTTGCAGTTTTACGACGTTTCGGCTAACATTGGCCATTTTCAGGCAATTTAACTTAAGCAAGGTTTGTTTGCATTACATACAGAATTCTAAAATGGGTTTACTTCGTAAACTGTAACGAAAATGAAAGTACAGAATAAAAATATGTTAAAAATTATACTTCTCCGGGGGCAAAGCGCGGCCGGTGCGTGATTCTGACCACTCACCCCATCTAATGCCGAGGTTGAGAATGACATTTAAGAACAAAGTAAATTTTTCATAACGTTACCAGACAGAGGTTCACTGACAGCTTACAAGGCATTGAATGCATTAATATAGCATAAATTTATCAAATTTTCGAAAGTGATATTGAAATGGGTTATTTTATAATATGGGAATGTACAATGATTATGGTCTAATCAATAGAAACGCATACCTGTGCATTAAAATAACATTCGGTGACATCGGTACTATAATAAATCATAACAAACTCCTTGGGTTCGAATTCCATTAGAATGCCTTAAACGATAGACACATTTTCATATGTTTTTGTTTGAATTTATATCAAATACGAAGTAATCCAGACCCCTAATCGCAGTAATGTGCTACACGACCGTTGTGTAAGAGAAGCGGCCATTGGCTGTCGCTGTTGAACCAATTACCTCAGGTTAGTTGTCCTCTAATTAATCTGGATCAACTAGATTACTCCAGTTTCTTCTAACTGGCCTCCACATTGGTTCTTTCACTTCAAACACGTTAACCTCATATCGAGGTCGCCTTCGGCTACCATCAGTTCTCAAAGGAGTAAATATCCAATCTTTATAAACATTGAATAATGTCACGTAGTTGCCTGTCCATCGAAGTCGGATACTCAGAGAGAAATCTCTACGGCTTTGGTTCTGGACCAGTGGTACACGTACACCGAAGAGGTATGAAATCTCATCAGGGGCTTTAGTGATATAGACTATAGGTCTATTTCTTACGTTCTCAGACGTGAAATAACACGAGAAAGAATGGCATTTCAAACATCGTATTGTGAAAATTAATACAAGGCAGAAGAGTGCTGCTTTAGTTGCATAAGAGAGAAACTTTAAGAGTTTTTCATCTCAACGAACTACAACCTGCCCCCTCCCCCCTTTCTTCATCGCTGAAATTCAGTCCGATATTCGAGCGCTGATGACGGAAGCAGTATGACCTCTGAAACGTTGGTTAACATCGACCAGACTACACAGCGCAACAACCCAGAAGACAAAAATCTTTTTACTCACCGCTGTGAAAAATCGCCCTGATGACGGAAGCAGTATGACCTCTGAAACGTTGGTTAACATCGACCAGACTACACAGCGCAACAACCCAGAAGACAGAAATCTTCATACTCTGATGACGGAAGCAGTATGACCTCTGAAACGTTGGTTAACATCGACCAGACTACACAGCGCAACAACCCAGAAGACAGAAATCTTCATACTCTGATGACGGAAGCAGTATGACCTCTGAAACGTTGGTTAACATCGACCAGACTACACAGCGCAACAACCCAGAAGACAGAAATCTTCATACTCTGATGACGGAAGCAGTATGACCTCTGAAACGTTGGTTAACATCGACCAGACTACACAGCGCAACAACCCAGAAGATAAATGTCTTCAAATCAGGATATGTTGAAATCCCTTCTATGGGACAACTTTTCCAATCCATCTTCTAGGGAAAGTTCTTTCCAGAAAATTTCGGACGATTAAATTACATATTTCTGCAATATTCCCCTCGGACCCGATGTCTTAATTTGTGGGACTTTGTATAATTCCAGCGGTGATGGCGCCTCCAGCGAAGAATAAAGGTCTAGCGACTTTGTTGCTTGAGAATGCGCATTCTTACTTACTCTTTACATATTCCCTAAGAAAGCGGGCATTTTCCGAATCCCCACACTTGACAGTTGTGCTTTTTCCACGTAATCGCTGACGTGAAATGTTTCTTCGTCACAGAATACAAGATAATTAAGGCAGTCATCGTCCTCGTCCGTAATCTGTAGCATCAGACGAGCAAATCCTGGACACGCTACGTGTATCTCCTCCTGGATCTTTTAGGCACGCGAACGTTTGCCCTAGACATCGTGCACCGCGGATCGGGGGATGCTGATTTCTGCGCTGACTTTACTTGACTTTGAGTGGTGACGTCGTTGGTGTCCGGGTCTTTTTCCGTTCTTGTGTTCTGCTGGGTGGTTTGCACTGCTCCATCCATGCAAAATGGTTTGATGAGGTAGGGTTTCGCCATAAGTCCTTTGAACACTGACCTTACTGGCATCATCCACCACGCACACAAGCGTTATTCTGCTGTTCTCAAAACGCCTGCCGACTGGCTACCCGTCGCTCAGTTTGACACTTGGTCACGCCGTACAACGCCTAATAAAATTTTCAGAGCTTATCTTTCATGTGGCGAAAACCGCACAATTGAAATTGTTTAGATTATTACACCATTTGTTTTGTTTTTTTTAAATATCGCTGTTCTTTCTTGGGTTAGGCAAACCTGGAAATAAAGTTTCTTAAAAAAATAGTATGATCGCGGAAGTTCTCCATTAAAAAGTGAACAGAGGGTAACGATTCAACAGCACGTCATATTGCAAGTCTGTTTCTGTACCAAGGTGAGTTTGTCCTTCATAAACGAGTATCGAATGCCACTATCTATTTCTAAGACCGATTCTGAAGTGTCAGTAGATTACACTTTTATTGAACACGGCATTGAAGCGAAATGCAGAAAAGTGTTGACATCGCCGAGTATAAAATCTTAGAACACCTCTTTGTGCTAATAAGCTAACTCATACAAAAGTAACTTTGCGTCAAAGGAAAATGTCTTGGACGCTGGGAGGATTATCTCACTGTGTTGTATATCGAGCATTAATTACACGGCATCTCGTTGGTCCATGTATCTTGCCGGTTCCTGCGATTTTCCATATACATTTGCAAAAATTGTTGGATTATATTTTATCGTGCGCACGACAACGGATGTGGTTTTTGTCTGGCTGTTCGCTAGTGGTTAGGCAGGTGTTAGGGTGCTCGAACGCGTACGAGCCATGTCCCGACATCGAGGTAGATACGAACATTTCGGAAGAACATGCAACCTCCATCTTAAACCCTTGAATATGGAGGAATATGTGTCTCCGAAACGTTGATATCTTCCTACAAGTCCACACAGCATTACAACTCAAAAGACCAGCATCACTGTTTAAATATGTTACGATTTAATGTTTTAATAAGATATCACAAAAGTTTATTTCGGCGTTTCAGATAAATGTCAGCCCTGATTAATAGTAATTCGTGATTTACATATTAAAGAGAATTCTCAGCACTAATAGTGTGGAAAGGTGTGTTCCAATGTAGAGCATTGCTATTTCGTATCCTTGACTTTGATGAGATTACCTAATAGCTAGTTGCCGACCTTGCTGCTCTCTTATTTAAGACATGTTGAGTAATTAATGACATTCTACATGCGTTTACATTTTGTTCCGTTAAATATTGTCGTTTCAAAAATGTCTTAAATTAAATCTGTAATCTTAACTTATTTCCTATTATATGTAATTTTCCGTTTTCTACAACAGGTTACATTTGAGAAGCTCGTAAAAGTTTTCTTTGATCTGAATATGAAGTAGGAGTCATTCATTCGTCTAGCTAAACGGGGAGGGTTCGGGTGAGCTACTGTAATCAGGAATTTGTCCACAGAGGTTCTGAACGATGCTGTGTTTGATGAGGACCACGACGAGATGGTAGTGGTGAAGGACATCGAGATGTTCTCTATGTGTGAGCACCATCTCGTCCCTTTCTACGGGAAAGTTTCCATCGGCTACTTGCCCACAAAGAAGATACTGGGTCTCAGTAAGCTGGCCAGGCAAGTACACACAGCGGCTACCCCCTAGATGATACTGAAAGTGGCGCAGACTGTGGACGACCAACGAAACAATATTCTTCGAAATTAACCCTTTCAAGTCTAAATTACAAAATATTTTAATTTGAAGTGAATGGGTTATTTTTGTCATGGAAAAACATTTAGGAAAATATATTCACATCAGTTATTTTTAATTCGGAATTATTTCTTCCATTAAACTTTAAAGGGTTAAAAATTGTTACTGGATCGTGTTTAAAGTCGTAGTTGTTGGCTTCATCCAATTCAATACTTTTATACCATAATAAACATTATCCTGACATTATTGATGGCAGATCCAATGACGAAGCCATGGGCGAGATTGATTAACGAGGCCCCTCTAGAAAAAAAATACATGCAAATCATTTTAGGTGATTTCAGTTACAATTCTAACGACCTGGAAATTGCAGCTCTAGAACTAACTCCCCCGGTTGATGAAGTCTTCGACCGGCTCTCCACATTCGTTCTTACTTAAATCTTTGTTACGTTCGTATTTTTAAAAATATTTTAGACGTGACTCACTTAATTCCGGATTCTGTGCCCGCAAGTTAAATCCTAGACATGATACCTCCGAAATGGCCGCGAACTGGACATTTGACGATTATTCCAGATTATATGCTGAGCAAGGTAAGGGCTGAAGATAGATTTTTATATTGGGCAGCAGCTTTAATAAAAATTTGTGTTCGAAATTATATTAGAAAATCATTATGTTTATGTTAGATTACAGGATGTTGACAACTGAATGTCGTTGAATCTGAGCACTTTTAGACTGAGAGGCGCCGAACACGTGCTTTAAAACAGCAGAGATTTCGGTAAACAAGGGCAGTCGTCACGTCATGACCAACCTACGAGTTTGAAGTAGGATCCTCGCGTCAATTTTTTAAAATTCGAATGACGAATGAATCTACCAATTGGAACACCGATCAAATTCAAAAGATAACGAGTGATAATGTTACCGGACGGTGCGCAATAAATTTACCGTCAACTATGACATTTAAAAAATTGTCATTTACTCTCCACAAGCTTTATCAAAAACCTTCTCAATTTCCTCTTCATTGTTGTTGGTCTCAAATAAAAATACATGTACAAGGAAAACTATGGCAACACTGTAAGGAGGAAAGGAAATTCCAGTACACCCAAGTGACAGGCAATTGTGTAGGTCTACCAATAAAACACCTGAATGCCATTCTAAAAGAAATTCGAAGGTTTAGTTCTGTATTCACAACTACCTTCCATTAATACTATCCTGAGCCAGCTGAATACTATCCTTATACTGTAGTTCCTTATAGTCCATTTTAATGTTAACCTCTCTTCAGTGCCTGTGTCCCAAATTGTCTGTTTCCTTCAGAATTTGCAACCGTAATTCTATATTAATTCCTCACCTTATGCATGCTACATGTACTGCCTTTCAAACACTATTCACACGTGATACAAAAACATAACCACAATGAGTCTACAAACTTGCTTCAATATAAAACATTCTCTTTTTTCAGAATTGTGGAGATTTTCAGCAGAAGACTGCAAGGTAAGTTTAATTTTAATCCAAAATAGAAATACTGAGTGAAGGAGTAAAAAATGTTAATCTCAGTAGTCAAAAATTTAATGTTACGTGGCAAAATGAATGAACCAGAAACTGCGTGGTCATAACTCTTTCAGACACCAAATTTGGCTTAAGCCTTGCGACTGTGCTGTTCAGAAAAAGTTTTGAAAAGTATGAAGACAATTTGCTAATAGGCACTATTTATACTAGTATTAATACGTGATCTATGATTAATAAAAGATGGATGATTCAAAGAAATTTGTTAATCGATTGAATTCATTAATTATTTTTGTGTTTGCAAGAAATGTTAACTAGAAAGCCCTTTAATTTAACATCAGAAATTGTGTAATGAGTCATAATAAAATATGAAATCACTTTATAATAATTTAAATGTAACACAGAATTACATTCATCCCCATGCAAATGCAATGATATGCTCACGACAGAATCACCTAACCAAACCAAAGTTCTGCTGTCTTTTGATGGTAGGACGCTCTTTACTGTGTGGAGGTTTGTACTTTTGAACTCAGTTAGATTTTTTTTTTTACATACGATGTTAGGTCTGTTTTGTGTTGAGTAATTCTAGTAATATCAGTATTGGTTTTTACAAATATCAGAAAAATGTCACATAAAATTTAGTGTTATTTTTAAATTTATACCATTTATTGCTTCCAGTCCAAGAGCGTCTCACCAAACAGATTGCCATCGCAGTCACCAAGGCCGTTCAACCAGCAGGTGTCGCTGTAGTGGTTGAGGGAGTGTAGGTATCAGGTTCATAACATGGTACATGTGATTTGGTGTCAGTATAGATTTTCAGCATTTATAGCGGAGATTTCAGTTTGTGAAACTGACAACCGTTGTTGATTATGTCTTAAAAAATGTGAGATCTATGATGATAAAACTAACCATCTGACCATTACAAAACTTAACTCTTTAGATCCTCATGTAGTTACTTAATATAACTTATCTTTCTGGGTTATTCTCTCAGAACCACATAATTATGCTGGTGCATCTAGTATAGGAGTGCAAATGTCAGACATATCACATTTTTTTATGTCCTGCTAATTTATTCCTTTATTAGATCATCCTAATAGGAGTACCAGATTACGTAGTACTACAACCCAGAAGACAGCCATCTACCTACCAATAAATTCTTTGAAAATGTGGCAAAGTTAAAATATTTGTAAATAAAAAAACAAATCAAAATTGTATCCATGAATAAATTAAAATTGCCTTTAATTCATGGAATATTTGCTATAGTTCAGTCAAGAATATTTTGGCTTTCCACCTGCTATCTAAAAATACAAAACTGTAATTCTGCCTGTGAGTATGAGGATTTGCCTCACCAAGGGAAGAACACAGACTGAACGTGTTAGCGTGTTTGAGAACAGTGTGCTGAGGAGAATATCTGAACAAAGAGGAAGAGAGTAACAGCAGGCTGGAGGAAAGGAGATAAAGAGTAGTTTCTTGCATTTGTACTCTTCACTAAATTCTATTAGGATAATGGCGCTACAACCCATAAGACAGCCATCTTCATAGTCAACACCACGAAAATTTCAAATCCAACTAATTTATTGGTTGGTTGTATATTATAATTGTATCCTGCATTCTGATGACAAAACAAACTTGTAATAAGTTTCTTCTGCATTCACTTTTAAACCAGCCTCCTTATTAACATCTAATAGAGCTCTGGTGTTTGCTTTGATATTTATGTTTTTCCCAGTAAATTAACACCATCACTAGAACTGGGTTGACCTACACATAATATATTGTAATGTGTGAGATAGATACAGCAAGTGAGCGTGATGAATAATACAATTAATAAAGGTAACATACATGAGGCTAATTTAAATGTAAACAACAGTTTTCCTGTAAAATGCCTTTGTTACTTTATAGTACTCTATTTCTGAACAAAATTTACAGCACATTTTGCCTAACCATTTACAAGTACAATGAATTCTTCTCTGGCTACCAGCCATGTCAGGTGGTTAAAGGGTGAAAACATTAATGTTTTGAGAACCATCTTCTTAGTCATCCTCAGGGTACTGAAGTGGTTGGAGATCAAATCTGTGTTATGTATATACCTGCCCAAGCCCCATATTCATGGCAGCATGCCAGCCATTAGGGACAGGTGTCTGGACTCAAGTACTCGCTCTTTTTAGCCCAGCTTTCATCACTGGGTACCAGGTCCGCCTCAGTGTGAAACCCCCATCTCTGTTGGGCAGACATATATATATAAATAACATGCACTGGATCTCCAACTACTTCGGTACCCTGAGGACAAGGACAAAGATGGTTCTCAAAATGTCAGTGTTTTCATCTTTCAACCACGTGACATGGCTGGTAGCCCAAGAAGAGTCCATTACTTAGTCACCGTGAAAGCTTCAGATCATACATTTACATGTACCCTGATGTCATAGTCAAAAACACTTTTTGTCATCTGTATAATCAATTTCGCACCACATATTGTTTTAAGCATCAAAGGTTGTACCTCTCTGTCAATGCAAAATCTGTGAGTAAGCACATCTGCAAGTGAGCACTTTTTTGGGCAGTTATTTTATTTTTTCAACCATCATCCTTGAGGTACGAAGACATTTTGTCATGCTGCAAATGTTCCTGTACACCAGTTGGCTCAGTTCTTGTGATTTTTCTCTTCAGAAGCCTAAAATAAGCTTCGCTGTTTCTTGCAAATCCCACATTACAGATAACAGTCAACATGACCTTTACAGCTCTTGGTACTACTGAAAATATTTTGGGCTTCAGTAATGAGGGATGACACCTTTCTTTACATGTTTGTTTGCTTTGTGACTGGAAGTGACAGCCATATCGGCTTACAATCCATTAAAGATATCTGTATAATATCATTGCGTTTCAACTGACATGGCACTGAACATGTGCACACGTAATTGAATACCGTCTCCTTACGGAACAGATTATGGACTGAATAATCACTCCTTTTACAGTATTAAAATGAAGTAATCCAAAGTCACTTTTCCAAAATTACAGTCTCCTTTAATGGTTGTTGGGAATTACGCTTATTCTTGCCTCACATCATGTAGACCTTGACATCCATTTACAAACAGTCTTCATACAAGTATGTCACTATTTACAGCCTCCATTCAGAGATAAATATTGGTTAATTTGGTACCTTCTGTTGCAAGAATTTGCTCAACATCACACAGCTCTACATGATTTCACACGAACATCAGCTTTGTACATAAGGTTTTATATGTGCATTTACATCATGTGCCAGCAACAGCCCATATGAAGGGGTTGATGAAAATCAACATAGAATATAAAGCAAACTACTTGCAGGCTGAAAGCATGTTACAGTAAAACACTTGTTTTAATTTTAACTATGGTACATAGATTGGCCCCGCACCGTAGCCTCGCGGTCTGAGGCATCATGCTTTGGACCAGCGATACAGAATGCGCGCTGGTTTGAGTCTCAGGGGAGAAGAAATTTTCTCATGAGCTTTCGACCAGTGTATGGGACCGGTGCCAACCCAGCATCATGAGGAAATTGGGGAGCTACAATGAGTAGCGTAATCCAGTCAGGAAAGCTAGCAATGGCTGGGGGTTCGTCGTGCTGACCACACGTTGCCCTATATCTGGTTGGATGATCGTTCACCTCTGCTTAGGCATGTGAACGTGAGGCCAGAAGCCAGCTAGTCGGCTTTGGCTCTGTGGAGCTGTTATGCCACAGATTTAATTAATTTTAATGGTACATAGATTATACTTTTAATGTGTTTTACACAGTGTGACATACATCACATCTTACACCCATTCCAACTGTCAGTGCATTGCACTAGCATCCTACTAAATTGTTTACGCCAGAGTAAACATCAAGCTGGTTTGTCTTTAGTATGACAGTTTAAATTGCCTTTTCTTGTATGTTTAAGGTTATCATATATTTTGTATATAAAAGACAATACATAAGTATGATTAAAATGTTCTAGTCATGTGTGTTTTTAGGCAGTTAACAGTGACCTCTGTTTCAGGCACATGTGCATGGTGATGCGAGGAGTTCAGAAGATTAACAGCAAGACTGTAACTTCCACCATGTTAGGTGTCTTCAGGGATGATCCCAAGACACGTGAAGAGTTCCTGAATCTGGTCCATTCCAAGTAGTTTTCATTCTACACCCTTCAGCCACCACCAATACTCATTGAGCCACAAAGTGTGAGGAATCAGAACACACACTCAGAGGAAAAACTGGGAAATAGCTTTTCTTATCCAACAAAACAGCCCATTATTGCCTAATAATTTGTCATGTTTGCTGTATGAAGTTGGACAAGAAAGAAACCAAATCTTCTCACCCTTTTCTCAAAGACACAAATCTGTTCAATTTTTTTAATATATATTACATTTCTTTGGCACTGAATGTGGCATTTGCTCTAGAAATGTCACTGCTTAAGAAAATTATTACATCTTACATGTGGTATGGAATTTTTATGAAATTTCTACCTTGCCCATTAAGGTTTCAGAAAAAAAACTCTAGAAATATCAAAACATACTGATCACCATTTTCCTCTGAAACAAATACAAGTGTTGATCAAGGGTGATACAGATTTGTTTTTCGTTGTGTGTTCAAAAGCGAAATAGTATATCCTCACAGAGCCACTACCCCAGTGTCTGCCCTCTTCTAAGACATCTGCATTCAAGAGTATGAGAAACATACTAGAAGTTCCATTAAAATAATCATATATTTATTGACCAGATTTTATTTGAAGTTTAAAAACTGTATAAAATTTAGAGAAACATTTTGTAAAGGTAAATTTTTAATCCGGATATGTAAATTGGATATAATCATGCAGGTAATTTGTAGTTACTACAAATGACAAACAAAGCGATATTGAACACTAAAAATAATTTATTATGTACGGTATTATAATAAATATATCATATAACATACATCAGAATCATTTTATGTTTTATATTTCATATACTGTTTAAAAAATGCTGTTGACAATGGACCACAGAAAAATTAATGAATGGTATTATGATATAGATTATTACATTAATTCAGTCCACATCAAGCATTATTTTAAACCATTTGATGACAGGCATCATATATCCTTATTAAAACAACATTCACACATAATTATTGCAGTAATGTTTTTATCTCAAAAAATACAATCCGTACAAAATGAAAAGTAGTCCAAACATAGTTATCTTCACTGTGATGGAAGGGATGAGATAAATATTTCCCCTCTACTTGGGTCTTGTAAATATTATATTTATACTTTATTTCCAGAACATATTTTGGTGCTTAAAAATTATATCCAAGAACAAATCATGAGCCTGGAATGTTGTGTACCAGCTCTGATTATGTGTTCACACATTCGTTTCCACGCACAGACTAGGAATAAACAGTGATGTCATCTTCAGATTTTTTAAAATTATTATTCTTCACAGCTACTAAAGAGAATGAAGGATATTTCTTCCTTCATTCCAGACCATCTTTCGTATTGTGTGATGTATAATTTACTACAACGATGTTCATATGCTTCTGAGGTTTGCGTTACATGTTCAGTAGTTAGTGTCCAGGTAACAGAGATTGTTATTTTATAAACTGTGCTCTTTAATGTCAAAACACTATTAGTTAGTATTACAAGATTACTGATTCTGTTTGCATTATAATTTTTATTTTTATGATGAGAGTTTATAAAATACTTTTTCCTTATTGTTAGTGCCCCATATCCTTTTGGCAACTGAAAGTGTTTTAATCAAGTGTAATTTATGAAATTTAACAAAGACTTGAAGTTAGCAGCAGATCAGTTGTTGGTGAGGCACTATGCATCCATTTTTCTAAAGGTAATGCAAATGGATATTAAATGTACAATTGTAATATGGATGAGTATATGATTCCTCTTGGTATTTGCCATTTAGTAATCTAAGTACTTTGCCTTCTTCAACAGTTAGTGAATAATTGATCACTGACATTTATCTCTACATCGTTTTAGGTATGAGATAAAATTTGATAATCGAGACATGTCGCGACTTCAGCTTGAATCGCCGCTAATTATAACACTTTTATGCATCAGTAGGCTTACAATGATGTAAAGAGTGATGTCTTCAGAGTCAACAATAAATTACCAAAATCATTAAACAAGTATCCTCATGTTGTTGAAAATAATCACTCAGTGAGGTTATGTCATAATTTACATTTCTATAATGAATGGCTATCAAATGCAAGATTTTGCATATTATCCACATTAGTAGCAAGTTATTGGCATGTTTTCTCATGAAAAGAAGGAAAAATGGATGCAAAAAGTTTCACTGTTTAAGTTGTAAAAAAAGAGTTTTAAAATAATGGTTTCTTCTCTGGCTACCAGCTGTGTAAAAACCAATAATACGGAACTGGGTGAGGTATACACAGAGCATGGACAGGACCTCCTACAACTTCTGTACCCTGAAGACGAGGACGAAGGTGGTTTTTGAAACGTTGGTGTTTTCTCCATTAAACCACCTTACACAGCCGATAGCCTAAGAAGAATTTATTATAGTAAGTTGCCGTGAAAGCTTCAGATCATATGAGTTTTTAAAAACCTTTCATCTGCCAATTTATCAAGTATAAAATCTAGAATGCTAAAATTAACTCAGTCATTGGTTTATATTGTGTAATTTGTTTGAAAGAATGAATATAATTGTCATTCTGATTCATATCCTCAATTTCTGAATTGTGTGATTAATTCTAATCAAGAGGACCAATGATATTTACAATTATGTATTATATAAAGAAATGGTTCTTATGAACCATGGATATGTTTACAACACCACAACTTATTTTGTTATGATGTATAAATAAATGAAATATATATATATCTTTTATGTCAAAAGCAGTCTTATTTATTATTTTCTATGGCATATTTTGTTTAATAACTTGGCATTTTCTGTTGGAACATTTTCCTCAAACTGTTCGTTTGAAAAGATGACATCTGCACTGGCTGTGTAGTGTACCCAGCTTCATGTCCAATGGGTGCCAGTAATTTCACTCCGATTCTTAATGTGACCGCTGATATAAATTTAGTGCTGATTTTAAAAATCCATAGGACTTTACATTTGCTTCCATGTCTCTGTGGTGTAGTGCTTCAGCACTCAGACAAAGACAATAGTTTTAGCTTGTAACTGGAACAGGCAAAATACTTTTGTGCCTTGCACCGTGAAAAGAACTGAGTATTTCTTAGGGGGATAAAAACAGTAATTGTCTGTTTATTTCTAACATCAGTGGTTTTGCATAAAATTTTAATCAATGCTATTGTTTGTTTAATACCCAGTTCCTTATTTATGATCTAATTTAAATTTTCATGGGTAAGGTACGGCCAGTGCTGGTATCACTAAATCAAGTACAGTATTTGAGACTGAGTTATATGTACGCAGTCATGAGGATGCATATTTTTAAAATTCATAACTAAAACTTGAATATTTACGTGACAGATCCAAAGAATAGGAAAAATTATTAAAAGCAGTTAATAAAATTCTATCTATTCACAATTTATAATCGGGAAGAAATAGAAACAATGGACAACTGTCACAAATAATGTCTCCTATACTCCCTCAACTCTTCACTCCCTTAATAGATGGCACCGCTAGTCTCAGAATTAACCTGGATTGGAGTCAAAATTGTCCGCTAGAGCTCGTGATAAAGGTAAACGAGCAGCAGTTGGATTTCTGCTTTGTGATATTGGTATGTATTACTTTGTAAGAGTGTAGCACAGCATGTTGGTGTGATACGTCGGTTCTTAGTTTTTTCCTTGTACGTCACTTTTCACGCTCTGTCCATTCGCTTGAACAATATGTTTCGGTTCATTGTGTTCATGTTCAGTTTCAATTCCATGCTTTTTATGCTTTATTCTGTGTTATAATCCGGTATATCATAGACTATTAAACACAGCTGACATCAGAATGTTTGAAGAAGGACCAGTTTTAAACTTATATAATACCTTTAAAAATGTACTTGTAACCTTGTGATATTTTAAAGCCGACATAGTAAAACACGTGAATCCATAAAAAATCAATATGTTGACTCACAAAAATTCGAAAATCTTTTTTCTTTTTAAAACGAAATCTTATCCGTGCTACATAAAACGCTAAGGAGGAATAACTAGCCCCGAGAGTTTGGTTATGAATTTCCCGAATTTTCTGGGACGTTCTGCTTTTCTTAATATCTTTATTCATTTATTTGTTTTGTTGTTATAAACTGTTTTATAACTTCCATAAAGCATTACCACTAAAGTTTGTATCAAATTAGAATAAGCATAATGTTTTTCGGTCTGCTAGTAGTGCAGCATGTTACTTTTTACGCTGCATACGTCACAGGGACTTACTTACATGTGGATGGCTGTCGTCTGGGTTGTAGTGCCGTGTAGTGTGGTAGCAGTTTACCGACTTTCAGGAAGTCCTTGTTGCATCCATCGTTAGCAAGGACCTATTAGAAACTACAATACAGAAGACGGCCATCTTCGGACTCACCGCCGTGAAAACCTCAAATCCTATTTGCTTAAATGCGTAATGTTACATTCTTTCCGCGTTGTTTTCAGATAATCTTACGGAAACAGGTTATGTTGTGCATTGGATTTCGCTCTCTTTTAACATGTCAGTGTACAGTCCTTGTACCAGTGACCCCTGTACACTTTAGCATTTATTCCATGAACAGACTGACGTTTCCCACGGAGCCACAAATAGTGAAAGTAAGGCACTCATCCAGAACAAGTCTCTGGATGAAATGATACGCAAACATTGGAATCCTGTAAGTAAACCCAAGATGTACTATTGACTTATCCGTTCAGCTGTTCAAAATACCATAAACTTACATTGTACACTAGGATATAAAAATGACATGAGTCTACAAGTATCAAATTAATTAACTGAAGTCATAATTAATTAGTTGACTCAAAAATTTAATAACTGTGTACAAATCTACTTTCAAATCATTATGAGCAAATGAAATCAACTCATCAAGCTCTTTACTTGTTTCAGTTACAAAGATTAAAAATCTTACTTTCATATTCTTGTTGGACATCCCTGGAATATTTTTATGCTTCTTTTATCCTTATAGAACATCTTTGGTATTTGAATTTTATGCATTATTTCCAAATGTTCTCACAGTTTCTTTTGATAGTTATTATTATATTGCTATCTGTTATTCTGAGTTATTATCTAATGGATATTAATAAATAATGTTCTAAATATACACCTTACACAGTTTTCTCTTGTATATGGACATTGTCCAATGCTGTATAAATTATAACTGAATATTAACCAAATTTACGTGTAGGCATCAGAAAAACTAATCGAACAGTATGATGATATTTATATTTAATATATTTATTTTAGTTAATAATTAAATCTGTAGTTTCCAGTTAAGTGCTATTCTAAAATTGCATCTGCATTGCTGTACTGTTTGGACTAGATTCTGGTTAAAATCAAAGTCCATATTCATCGCCCTGATGACGGAGGCAGTATGACCTCTGAAACGATGGTTAACATCGACCAGACTACACAGCACAACAACCCAGAAGACCGAAATCTTCATACTCTGATGACGGAGGCAGTATGACCTCTGAAACGATGGTTAACATCGACCAGACTACACAGCACAACAACCCAGAAGACCGAAATCTTCATACTCTGATGACGGAGGCAGTATGACCTCTGAAACGATGGTTAACATCGACCAGACTACACAGCACAACAACCCAGAAGACCGAAATCTTCATACTCTGATGACGGAGGCAGTATGACCTCTGAAACGATGGTTAACATCGACCAGACTACACAGCACAACAACCCAGAAGACCGAAATCTTCATACTCTGATGACGGAGGCAGTATGACCTCTGAAACGATGGTTAACATCGACCAGACTACACAGCACAACAACCCAGAAGACCGAAATCTTCATACTCTGATGACGGAGGCAGTATGACCTCTGAAACGATGGTTAACATCGACCAGACTACACAGCACAACAACCCAGAAGACCGAAATCTTCATACTCTGATGACGGAGGCAGTATGACCTCTGAAACGATGGTTAACATCGACCAGACTACACAGTGCAATAACCCAGAAGACAGAAATCTTCATACTCATCGCTGTGATAACCTCAAATCTTACAAAGTCCATGAATCCGTCACAGACAAAGGGTGAAACCTGCCTTCAGTTTATAGAAATAAAGAGGGAAGAAGGGTGACCCATGAAAGGGATGACAGAGCTTCGTAACATTAAAGTGGAAACTTTCCCTAACTTTAGCAGTTGTGGTGCCCACCAAGAAAACTAGAAAGAATCGCTAGGAATCACGAAGGAGTCTGCGTCAAATCAGCTCTGCCTCCAAAAATATCCAACATGGACTAACTAAAAATCACATCCTGTACTTTACCTAATGGAACAAAGTCGTTCTTGAGGAGTTAATAGTCATTCAGTTGCTCAAGAAATTAGCGGGTTCTTTTATGGAATCATTATTGTGTTCACAAGACCATGACAGTTCCACCAATGATTACACTTTCAGCAGCATTTTATCTAAAAGCATAAGTAAAGTTGTCCAGTCCACACCCACTCACTTCTGATATAATTGCGAACTAACATCATCCTACATACGATCTCGCTAGCAATGAGAGACATTAAAATCGAATCGAGATAACAGGATCGTTGTGTGGATATTTGAGAGTAAAATTTTCTCCATCTTATCGCAAATTGGACTGAGCAGAATGTGCCAAAGACGTCAGACGGAAAGACGGAAGAAAGGGTCTCAGTGTATCCGGAAGAGGCAAAGGGCTTAAAAAGGTAAATGTTAGGTTAGGTTCGATCCCAGACGCAAGCTAAACAGTCTTTAACCCTTTGAAGCCGAAGATCGTCTGAATATTATTTATGAATTCAGTCTGTACCGCGAAGAAAACACTACACCTCACCGTTACGAAAATCAGCTGGTTAACCCTTTGAAGCCGAAGCTTGTCTTCATAATATTTACGAATCCAGACCGTACCGCGAAGAAAACACTTCACTTAACCATTAGAAGTCGAATCAGGCGGTACCACATAAGATTTAACAAAAGAACATCCCGGTGAAATCCTGATGCTCCAGCCGCTTTTCCCGCGGTCTTCGTTGGCTTGGAGGCTGGATGGGTCCCAGAATCCGTCCGGATGCTGTGGCAAATCAAAGATCCTACCCCTGCCTGTAGACAGTCGTTTTTTGACTGGCGTAAATGGGCGTCGAAACAACATTGAACCAGTCTGTAGGTAGAGGATGCAAATTCCAGATGTGCAACCACACCCACAGACCGGTTGAACAAACCACTGATTATTACGTAAGTCTACTGGCTTAACAAAAAGAAATGCAGAGACACTTTCTGAGCCAGGCTTTTTCGTAATACGCGTATTCAAGATCTAGGTTATAATTGGTACAGAATGCAAATTAGTTACTTCCTGCCTTACTTTTTGAGAATCTCTTAATGTCAAAATGTGCTGTCTCTTACTGTGTGCCACGTTACAATGTTTCGCTTAGTCATCCTGTTGCGAACTAATCGATTTATTCTTCTGTTTGCGGCCAGTAGTATTCGTAGTAATCTTGCTTTCTGAAGCTGGTACTCTTTCGTAGCGGGCATGTAGCACGCATGGGAGCGACGGAAATTAATACCAAGTTTTAGACAGGGAATCTAAAGGGAAGAGATCAGTTGGAAGATCTTTGTGTAAATTGAAGGGCAATGCTACAGAGGAAGTTCAGTCTGGAAATGAACTTAATTCGTTAGGCTCAGAATACGTACCGATAAAGGGTTCATTTAGACACGGCAATGCACCTGCGAGTTCAATAAAAGACTGAGGGTTTCCTGGCTGGC